CGTTGCCGCCGTAATCTCCCATAATGCTATATTCGCCAAAATATAAGAAAACCAGGGTGAAACCTCCGCCCTAAAATTATCGTTATGCGTCTTTCATCCTCTACAATCACATAGATGCAGCTGAAGAAGGCGGGAGAAATTAGGTACGAGAGTAAAACAATGGAGCCGTAACGCGGGACGCTGGGTCTCACCCGCGGTCGGCTTTTCACCCGGATTCGCGGCAGCCACGATCAAGACTCCCTTCGAAACAGTAATTTTTGGCGGCCTCCTGTCGCACCTCACAAAGGAAGCCGCGCCAAACAGACCCATAATTTCTTCTTTACAAATTTTTAAATATTTAGATTCATTTAATACCGTCGTGCCTTAGCTTTAATATTCTTTTCATCAAAATTATCGATGTATGGTAATGAAATACATTACTTTTTTGCATTACAAAATACAACTGAATTTTCATCGCAAATTTCATTTAACATTTTTTTATGTAAAATAGAATTTTTTTTCTTTTATATAATTACCTTTTAATTTTTCTTATATAGATGACAAAGTAATTTCTTTTTGTAAGAAGTTAATTTGAATTTATTTATTTCATTTAAAATAATTTCAGTAGGATTTGTAATAAACTAAAAAATAATTATTTTTTCAAACTTTCTAGAATGAATGTCACTATTATTGATTTTATTAATTGACATTATTTTATATAAGAACGAAGTTCATAGAATAATATGTTGTGTTAAATTTTTAACTAATAAAAAATGAGTATTAATGCAGATAACATTTTTGCAAATATTAGTAGATAAAATGTTATACTAATTTTCATTTTATTTTCTGAAACATAAGTTAACTGTTGCGTGGTTTTTTCAAAATATTTAGAAAGTATTATTTCTTCTTGAATATAATTCATATCCGCTTCGCTGTCAATAAGAGCAGTTAGATTAGATAAAATAAATTCTCGATTTATATTTAAATTAATGGTTCTAAACCATTTATACATAATAACATTTTGTAAATAATTAAAAAAGTTTCTTTTTTATTATTTTCTTTTTCTAATAATATTTCAGTTGGTATAATATTTTTTAATTCTAGTTTTAATAATATATTATTTAATTTTTCTTGGTTATTTCTAAAAATATTTATTTCAGATTTTACTGTATTAACTTCATTTTTTAAACCATTAATTGTAGTTGGTCTTCTTTCAGTATTTAAAATTAAAGCTTTATTTAAAGCTTCTTTCATAGAATATTCTGAAAAAGGAATTTTATCAAAAGAGAAGGATTCTCCATTAGACTTGATAACTATTTTTAATATTTTATTTCGAGTTTTTTCATCCTCAATTTGAAATGCAATTTTAAGTATTTTTTTCATTGAGGAAGATAAAGTAAATAAATCATTCATTTCGACTATAGATTTGTAATAATTTTCATTATTACATTTGCACTCAGATTTTGATTTACAATTATCTTTATCAAATTCTGATGAATAAAAAGAATTGTTCTCAATTTCTTCTGAATTGTCAGAAGTCTTAGAAGATTCAAGAGATGAGTTTAATATGATTTTGAAAATAGATTGCTATGAAAATATTAAGCTCATTTATTTTTTTTTAACCATGCATTTATTTTCATAGTGACTAGTTTTGCCACATTTTAAACATTTGATTTCTCTATCTATTTTTTTCTCTGAATAATATTTTTCAGAGTGTTGCTTATGATATTTTTTATTTTTCTGAAAAGATTTTTTTTTTTCTTTTGGAAAATTAAGAATATCATAAGCAAATTGTTCACAGAAACCGTCTAATTATTTTCTTTCTGTTAACTTTTCTTTTTTAATTTGATATCTTAATTTGAGATCTGTACATAAGGCTGTGTTTTTGTTCACACATTTATTAATTGTTCATATGTCAGATATTCATATGGAATACGTTTAATATTAGTATTTTGTAATTGTTTTTTAACTTTTTCGGCAAAAAATATTAGGTAAACCTTTAATAAATTTTTGTTTCCAGTGCGTGCTATTTGCATCTGGTAGAGACACGACTTTAATTAGAAAGACATCTTTGTACCAATAAAAATGTGTTAAAGCTGGACATCTTAATTTGTGTAAAAGAGAACGAATTTACTCCCCATTATCGGATACTATGCCGGTAAAATATTGTAAGATATTGATAATTAATTTATAAACAACACGAGTATTTTTTTGATTATGATTTCTTATTATTGCAGGATTTAAAAATTTTTTTTATTGTTCTTGAGTTAAATAATTATCCAACCATTATTTAAGAAGGCTAGTAAACCCATATGTTAACAGGGTTACTATTTGATGAACTCGATTATTATAAATCTGAGCGGTAGGGGCGTAAATCATCGTTCTTTGTAATGCGATTTGTATTTGACGGTCGGTCATACCGTTATTTTTTCATTTATAAATATTAGATGGATTATAACCATTTTGATATTTATTATTATCTTTTTCATTTAAAGTATCTGCAGGAGTAGGTTGAGGATAGTAATATCTACCTGTCTGCTTTGTTTGATATGAAGATGAAATTTTTTAGTTTATGTATTTGAAATAATTCTAATTTTAAATTATTTTCTTGGAATTATTCTTCAACGTATTTAATTTTTATTTTGTCATTATTAGAATTTTCTGATTGATCAGTTAATTGATCATCTTTATTTAATGTAATTATTTTAGTTCATTTTATATTTTTTATTAATTCTTCAAAATCTCGAGCTGACGATCCTAGATGAAAATTAAGATTGGGAGATGACAATATTGCAGGAGCTGAAGAAATAATTGTCGAACTTGCTTTCTTTTCATTTTGAATTTTTAAAGAGATAATAAGTTGATCTATTTTATTTTCTAATTTCATCAAGTAATTTAAATTTAAAAATAGATTTGTATTTGTAAAATTTAATTGTTTAATTGCACTAAAATTTATAGTGACATTAGTTTTTAGAGTTTTTCCAAAAGCATTTTAACTCAAAATTTTGGTTTCTATTATCTAAATAAAAAAATGTGGGAACAGTTGGATGATATATGAATTCTACTATTTCTCTGTAATTAATTTTTCTTTTTCAAGTTAACATGTTTAATTCATATTCTAATTTTTTGGTTATTTAATTACTAAATCAGGTTAAAAATGAAAGAAAAAATTTTCCTTCATAGTATCTATTTTTATTTTCTTCAAATGAAATTTCAGAATTTTTTTTTTCGATCATCTTCTATAGTATAACTACAATACTAATTTCAGAATGATTCATATTTAAATTGTAGACAATCATAATTGATTAAAATTTGTCTTATTTGTTTTTCAGCAATTTGTTTTAAACCAGTTTTGATTAAAATTAAAACTACCATCCGATTGCGGAGATAAGTTCTCTACCTTATGTGATTGTAATAAATTATTACTTGATATATTTATTTTATCTATCCCATGATTGATTGATAAATTTTCATCATAATCATTTAGAGATATATTTGAAGATCGAGAAGATGTTCGAGTAAGAGTGATAGATTTTCTCGTATTGAATCTTATTATCACTCTATCACCATTATTATTTTCACCAACTTGTTTAACAACCTGGTTAATTACTGGATGAAGATTTATAGCAGTTTGTAATTGTCATGACTCGGGAAAGCTTACTTCATCCCATTTTATAGTCCTATTGGTAGCTATATTTGAAGATAACAAATTTTTTTCTACGATTCTAGATCTATCTATTGATTTCATGTTATTTCTAATATTTGGACATAAAGTGTTCATTACCTTAAAATGAATCCTGTAAATTATAACAATTATTCAGATTCAGGTAAAAATTCATACCCATGTAGTTTTATCTGTATTTTAGCTGCTTCAAATAGATATATGTCTATTAGTGACAGAATCAGATTTCAGAAAGTGTTAAAGGAAACTGACCCATGACATGGGTCAGTTTCCATTAACGATTGTGTCCAATTCAGGCATCTTGCATCTCTTAAGCAGGCTGAAATTGAAGCGTTTAGTCCTCTTAGTGTCAGAGATTTAATTGCTACTTGAATTAAGCCTATGTGAATATAAATAAAACAGGATATAGATAGATAGATAGATATATATGCTTGTGTATATATTCTTTATTGGGATCTAGCCCATTTTTTAATTAAAGATGAATATTAGCTTGATATTTGCTTAATGTATATCGGTTACGAAATTGAATTAGAGATCAGTAGATAAATATTTTTTTAATCATTTATATTATAAAAGAAATATTTGATGACATCAATTATGATGTTATCATTCAATACTTTCAGCATATAAAGAGTAGATGTTATAAATTATAAGTTTATTTGATTATTATGTATTTTATCATTTTATATTAATGAATTCTAATAAATAATTTCTTAAAGCCGCCAATGTTGGTCTTAAGATCCGATGAAAAAGATTGAGAAAATTTTTGAAAAAATTGGTTTGTGCCACCGCTTTAGAAATTTTTTGGCTCTACATTACTTGTATTATCAATTAACATTTGCCAACTGTATTGAGTAAAATTTTGAAAAGCCTTGCAACCTATAAACCATTAGAAAAAAAACGTAGATTAACTAAAATTTGGATGAATATTGTGAATAAGCTGGCCAAGGATGCATGTATACTTTAGGATGCTAACATAAGAAAACTGTGTTCTTAAAGAGAGATTATGCCTTTTAGGTTAAACAATATTTGTAGGTCTATTTTGCATAAAAATTTAAATGCGAGCTTGCGAAGGAGATTTTTCAGTTAGAACTTGATTTTGAAGAGCAAGTCCAAAAGCGCTGTACTTTAGATTGGATGCTTCTGCATTTTGTAAAACAATAGAATGCTTCACAGCAGTTTTTAGTTCGAGTCATCAGATAGAATGTTTTCTAATTCTACTTAGATTTATGGTAGGCGTATCTCTTACATCTTTTTAAGCAGTTAGAGAAAAAATTCTTGTGCAAAAAGTCTTATTTTTTTTTCTGTTCATTTATTCTCCAGATATATCCTAATGTAGGTTTCGCCTACAAGATATAGAGGCTCTTTTGGAAGTCTTTGTCAAATTGGAACTTGCCTTGGTATAATTGCATCACTATCTTTAGCACTTCCTTCGGAAAGTGACCCACATTGGTATGGCTTTTTACTTTTCTGTGTCTACATTTATATTTATGTTTTTGCGAGATTCAATCCTTAGACTTTTACATTAAAGAACAATGGCAATAATACTCAACTAAGTAGTTGGCACTACTTTTTTTTGAGAACTATGAACATATAGATAAAGTATGAGTAATATGCCTTGCATTATAAGTACTAGGGACATGCTCTATCCTTAGAACTTTCCATTATAGTTATCTTCTATTATTGTCATATTTTTCTTTCTGCCTTCCTCATTATCATGTAATCTTTGTTCAGATGTTTTTCTTTGCAGCAAATAGAAGTTTGGTTCAAGGGATTGGGATTGTCTAAGGTCTTAGTAGTTCAATGAGATTCATTTAATAATATCTCTATTCTGGTTTTGTTTATTAGTTGCTGCATAATACTTTTTCCTGTTTATTTCTTTTTTAAACTTCTTTGTCACCTTTTCTGTTATTTTAATTTACCAGCGAAAATTTTAAATGATTTATTAGAATTTACGGAAGAAGGTAAAACAGGATCAATTCTTAATCTATTTACATAATGATCAACCATATATACATTTTACATTTTAATTATCAAAAGATTGGTGAAAGTAATCTTGTGGTAATTTTTTTTCTTATCAACTTTCTTCCTTGATAGTGATTCTTTTTGGTTGCTATCTTAATGTGAAACATTTACAAAACTATCCATTTGTTATTAGCTTACCACATCAAATATTTGTAGCTTACTTTGATGCACTAGATGGCCTTGCAATGCCATTTTTTGTCCTATCTTCTTCAAATGGAAAGCATTTTTTATTTTATAATCAGCGGAGTGTATATTCGTCCCTGCAGCATGTATAGGGCTGATTTGTTTTTGTAGTTAATGTGTTGCTGAGATCTTTGAGGTCCTGTTTAACCAAGTAGTTCTTTACTGAGTTCTGTTTATTTAATGCTTTTAATTGCATTTTTTTGTTGTGATTCTTTGTTAGCCTTTTTATTACAGCCCTCTTGCCCTCTTGATTATAGTTGATTCTATTCAAACTTTCAGCCATCAAAGTCGTGGCTTTATTCCTTTCTGGTCATTTCATTTAGATTCTCTTGCTTTGATTGACCGATAGTTCTGTTGCAAACTTGTAATAACTTAATGTTAGATTTATTATCCCATTGTCTTACCATTTTTCATATGTAGGGTTGCATTTGATTCTATTGGAAGTTTAGAAATAGATTATCTTTTGTTCCACATCACGTGGAATCAGATGGGTCAGATCATTTATTTTTTGATTATCTGGATTGTGGAAAATTAGAGAGATGCTTTTTTTCTTAATTATTTATGTTTAATACTCAATCAACACAAATATACCTTATAAACTGTTTAACATAGACTTTATAGCAACATCAATTGTTCTGAAGTCTACCACTTCAGCCACTGCTATTTATTTTATCTGTGAACTTGATGCCTGTGATTTTTTTTTTTTTTTTGCTTTTACATATTTGGAGTGTTTTTAATGCTTTCCATTGTAGGTGGAGGTCCTTGCTTTTAATTTCCAGTGGCCCTGGTCTTCTTCTCATGTTGGGCATGCAATTTGCAGCTGAGAGTCCACGATGGCTGTGTAAGGTACTTTATGAATTATTGCATGCAGCGCCCTTTACGGATTTCACTTCACAAGCTCCATGCGTAATTTATTGTTTTCCTCTGCCAGGTGGGGAGGTTGGCTGATGCTGAAAGAGTTGTGCGCAACCTTTGGGGTGAGACTAATGTTGAGAGTTCCATGAAGGAAATTCTATATGTAACTGAAAATATTAACAATCCAAAGGCTACATGGTTAGATCTTCTTGTAGAGCCACATAAGAAAGGTTTGTTGTCTTTGATGATATTATTATACTATCTATGCTTTTTCCTTCGATCTACTGATGCGGGTTCGCGGGGTCTTGCGATCCCGTGGCCACCAGACCCGACATCTGGTTCAGGCGAGCAGGCGTTCCTTTTATTTTCCAATTATCAGCACGTTTTCTTTTATACTTCTTTCCTTTCTAGCCATTTCTTATATGTGTTGTATTAGGGTTTAGATTCTCAATTTTTGCATGTGTTTGTTCGGGACAGCTGCCGATGCCTCTAGTTTTTCCTTTCAGGGATCCGAGTGGTGCTCCAACTGTATCTCACTCCTGAGGTGGTGTTTATATTTCCTCAATTCTTCAACATCCTTCCCACATCGATCCCCATCAGCCTTCACTGTTGTAGCTGCCCCAAACTGCCACATGTTGCTGCTTTCCTACAGCTTCCCATCGTTCCAGCCCTCCATCTTTACTCCGCCATTGTTCCAGTCAATCATTCTTGCTGCCATTTCTGTTCCAGCATGCCACTCTTGCAACCGTCACCTTCCTCTTGTTTCCCTCATCCAGGCTAGCCACTCCACGTCGATCTCTATTGCGTGCTTGCTGTCCGGAATTTGTGAAGCCGTTACATGCTGTTTTCTGCTTGCCAACCACCTCGACCACTATCTTGCAACATTTCTGACCCTCACTGACCACCTTTACCACCCTTGACTAACCCTAGTCGGAGTTAATGTTGTGTTTGCTGCAATTTAAGATTTCTATGTTGGTTGGTTGCAATTTTTCATTTGATTTCTGTAATAATATTTGTTTTTCTTGTTGTGTTTGGTTTAACTCCGACATCATCTACATACTTGCAAAGTTTCTAATGCTTCTTTATTTCTTTGTTATTGTGTGAAAGAAAATTCATGGTGTTAGAGTATGAGTAGAGTTGTAATCGAACCGAATATATCATAATTTGGACTTGGCTTGGTATAATTATTAGTTATTCATGTTCGGCTTGAGCTTGCGTCGAACTTTCATATATTGTTCAAGCTTGACTGGGTTAAATTTTTCAATATTTGAACTTGTTTTGTTTATGACAAGTGTGAACGAATATTTAAACGAGTGAAAAATTCAAACGAGTATCTAGATTTTTATGTAAGCGAGCTAAAAATTCACGAGCTAAAAATTCACACCTACTAATTTATTGATTATAAATCTTGTAAAAAAAATTTAACTCATGACCATAAACATTTGGGATGTAATCTCTCATATTATAGCATGAACATACTTCCAAGTTTACATGCAACTCTCACGTTCAAATGTATGTGTTAGTTTTCCCATAGTGATATGCACTTGCTCTTTTCCTAGTGTTTTAGGACAATTTAGTAGATGTCTTTTATATTAATTTGTTGCACCATTCTTATTCTTAATCATATATAACTTACTAAAACTGCATTGCATTTTCTAAACACCTTTTTTTAATTGGGTAGGATTTATAAGCAATGTGGAAAGGGGAGATCCTTGCACGTCCTTGGTAACTTAGGGTTTCGTATATTTCAGGAAAAACCGAGAGACATGAAACTGTGACAGGCCAGAGAAAAAATGAGATTTGTGGGGTTTTAAAGTTAATCTTAAGGGGCATTTCATACATACCACATAAGTCTTATGTATTGTCCCATATAACTCCTATACTTTAATAAAATAAATGAATAACTAATAATTAATGAAAAAATATTATTGATAATATATTACTATTAAATATGTAATTAAATAAATTATAATAAATTAAATTTTATTCAATTAATATATAATATATGATACGAGTTATTTTCGAATTTAATATTTAGTATTTAAAGAGTTACTTATTGAACAAGAAACAAGTTTGTTTATGAAAATAAATGAATAAGTTCGACTATGTTCATGTTCAGCTCCTTTAGGCTCCTAGTTTTTAAAAATTGTTCTAGCTTGTTTATTTATTAATTTGAATGAATATGATCAGAACTTAATCGAGCCGAGTTTGAGTTGTTCATCGAGTGCATTGGTTCATTTATAGCCCTAAGTACTAGAGTTTATATTCTTAGCTTTGCATGAAGGTCTCATACCCAATTAGATGAAAAAGAGCACAAGAGATGCCTAATAGTTTTTACATAGAAAATCCTGAAAAGGAAAAATCACGAGACTTATCCTAGAGAAAATAATTCACCATTTTGGTTGAGATTATAATGATTCGCTCTTTCCTTTAATTGAAAAAGATGAGATTACAACATTATGCACTCTACATGAGCTTGTTCCCTAGTGATTGTGGTGTAAGTAGTGATGGGTGAAGATTGTGGTTTCGTGATGACAATCAGATGGTGACAACTGAGGGACGATTATCTGATGGAGATAGTTGGGTGGTGATGATGGTAACCAAGTATGGCGGTCAAGCGATGATGATGATAATCATATTATGGTGTTCAAATGATGACAGTCAGGTGATGATAATCAGACGATAGTTGTTTGACAGTAGTTAGATGATGACATTTGCTGATGGATAGACAATGATGGCTTTACAAAGGTGGTCGGATGAGAGTTATCAGATGATTGTGGCATGTTGATAGCGATTGGCGACAAAGGTCACATAGCGGTGATTAAATAACAACAGTTGAACAACGACAATCAGATGAAAATAATTGGACGATAGTGGTTGTTGGCGTTGAATGTCAAGTAGAGCTTTAGAGTTCTTTAAGGGTCTGTTTGGGGCAGCTGCAACTTATCCAGCTTATCCAGATAAGCAACTTATCTTGATAAGCTGCTGATTAACAACTTATCTTGATAAGTTGTTTGCCTGTTTGCTTTGTGCGTTTGAAAAACAACTAATTTGCAGCTGTTTCTAGATAAATGATCATTTTGCCCCTGATCTAGATAAGTTGTTTAGTTGTTTGGTTTGTGCTTTGGAAAAACAGCCTATTGTGTTATCTGCCTAGAATCGCAAACTTATTCAAATGGAATCATTACCCTAAAAGAGTAAAGAAGTAGGGAAGGTTTGTGCTTTTGGAAAACAGCTTATTGTGTTATCTGCCCGGAATTGCAAACTTATTCAAATGGAATCATTACCCTAAAAGAGTAAAGAAGTGGGGAAAGCTTTCAAAACAAGCATCAGACAATAATCCATTAGAAATTACAAGTGTTGATGTTGGACAGATGAAGCTTTTTTCCAAATAAAAGTGATGATATCACTTTAAAGGAATGCATAAATTTCGAATAGAAAGAACCCGTTATTTCAAGCTATTTCCACGTCATAGCACATGGATTTACACCAAAAAAGATTCCAACCTTTTCAACCAAAAAATCGAATGTAATACATTACTCAAGGGCATCAAAACATTTTCAACCAAATCCACCCATCTAAAAAAAACAAACCATACTTTCCATTGAACATGTAAAAGCAGGGAAGAATTCGATGAGGAAAAAATCGACAAATTTTCAAGAAGGAAAATCAAAACGTTTTGCCGGGCGTCATTTCAGTCAATTAAGAAATCGTGAATCGAAGTTACCCGATGTAACTCTAGGTTTTTCCCTGCGTCCAGGGAAAGCTCGACAACCCTATTGATGGCTACCTCAGAGGAGTTGCATAGACTATCTACGATGACCATGCTAAATCCTTCTTGAGAAGCTGCAACATCGTGTGGCTTCCGATGTATCCCTCTCCTCCTGTTACTGAAATAGTCTTCGTCGCCAAGGAAGCAATCAGAAGAAAATTTTTTAGGATGGAAGAGAACAAGAAACGAACTATCAAGAGTTTAATGGCCCGTTTGCCATGGCTGAACTTTTGCTTCGCTGAGGAGTGCCGAAGTAGGGAACGACTCTGCGAGCTCGATCGCGAACGAAGGAAGAAGGAATGTCGTATCCGAGAGGGACTAGGACATCATGATTTGAGGGCAGCGGGGTAATTCGGGATAAAACACGAGAAGGGAACGTGGCCTGCAGAGATGATCCCACGGGCGACATTCTTTACAAAATGAAAACATCGGTTTTCAAAACACCGATAAAACATGGATAACAAACAGTAAGGTGGCGTTTTCAAAACGCCGCCTGCTGTTTTAAGCTGTCCCAAACGGACCTTAAATCTTTGAGCTTTCTCCAAACATAAATTTGAGTTCCTCTTTATATGGAGAATGTGAATCTGTTTATAATTTATGGGAGTGGCATATTGATAACTGTAACCAACATCTCAAAATATTCCATTAGATATATGTTGATTTCTTTGATCATAGATTGACTTTTACCGTTAAAATACATTAATGACCTCGAAATTGTGTGATATTGGACTTGGTGATTCATAAGTTGAGTCACTATTGGATTGCATGTAAACTTTGAGGACCGCTTAGTTCTATTAACATCCCAACGTTTCGAACCACACTTCAAGTTCTTTATTCGAGCTGATTTGGGCTTTGGATTGGATCACTTTAGGTTTGTGTTACACCGGTTCCTATGCTATTCAGTATTTTGTGTGCTTAAGGGCAATCTAATCATTTTGTTATTTATTAGTACAAATATGACTAATATGTTTAAGGTTAGAGTTATTCATGAGATCGTTGTCTTGAGTCTTAGGGTTAGGGTTTGGGAGAGACTTTCTAACTATCGAATTGTAGGATTTGTGAGAGATCACAAACATCTCGATTTGTAGGTACTTATCTTTTATGTATCCATGTAAATTTTGTGGTGTTATATTGTTTTATCTGAGATTGGTGTAGTGAAGTATTTTACTTGTCCTAGTTTTTTTTGGAAAAATCCTCTATTTCGTATCAAATTGATATTAAAGCAAGTTTTTTGGGAAACAATGATGGGGAAGCAGTTGACAGAATCACGATGCAGTACATGGTGCGAAATTGTGATACAATCGTGGTAAGAGCTAGTTGGGAAGAAGCTGATATGATGGTATCAAATTGGATCACACAAGAGTGTTGTTTTAGGACTGAACTCACGGTATAGTTAGATTAGAGCTAGCTGTTGGAAGTCACCGACGAGTTCGACATCCTTCGAGACCTGACCTCTTT